AAGATGACATCACCTTCAGCTTCGATTCTGCAAAGTACCAAACAGACAAGTGGTTAGAAAGATTGAGACTTTCTCTCCTTGGATCCGTAGTGTTTGGTGATGGAGTCTTTCATTAGTTCACGACAGGAAAGAATGAAAAGGCATGAAGAGAAAGGAGACGTGTCTTTTGGACTGGACCTCAGCGTTCCAGACACAGACACGTATTATTCGTCATCGATGACTCATACGCCGGTAAGGATCATCATCGATCCAGTAAAGACCATGGTCTCCTCACTCGTCCCATATGCTGAACTGATTAATTCACCAATCCACTAATTATAATTTTAAAACTATATGATTCGCACAACCCAACAAGAACTTGATATCCTCAGTGTGTCTCTACAGCCATTCTCACATCATTATATCCTTCATTATCAGTTTTTCACGTATGTATTAATATAATGCTTCATATTTGTCACTTAATTATCAATAGCATTAAAATGGCCTTCTTTAATTATATTTCCAATATGTTGTTCATGCAGTAAATGCCCTTAAACAAACCACACAAGCCAAGATTAGAAGTCTGTGCTCACACTGGTCTACTGGCTCCTTAACCACAGATGGAACCCTAGGCTGGTGATCAAGGAAGAATCCTTCATTCAGGTCCATGCATCCATTCTGAGGAGTATAAAGAACAGTAGATGAGAAAAATGGTTGACACATTACCCCATAGACCTGCTTCAACGTTCACATAGTTATTCAGGCCATCATTAATTTGGTGTATGTATTGAGTGTGTTAACAAAAGGAATAAATCTGAGCTTGTCAATGATCCAGAATATGAACACGGTCTATGCTTATCCTGTCTACGTCATCCTTCCCTTATGTAATAACATTCATTACCTTTCTCTTCTAATTGAACTTCAGGGTTTCCATGACATATTAATATTATTTCTAGCCTCATCATGTATTTCTGTAATTGGACAACGTTTTATTCTATTCATTTTTACTTTTAACTATTTATTTATAGATCTCACATCTATCCAGTTATAATAATAGATTGATAATACATGAAACAAAGACCAAAAATAAGCCCCTCATCCCTAATCTGCCTAGAGGATCACTTCAATCAGGACAAAAGAATCCACTCTATTTTCACTGGACGTCAGCATTCCAGACAGGGATTAATCCTGTAGGTCCCATAAGTCACAGCAGTCATCATTGTTCCAACATCATTCCCCTTTCCCTACCCACATTTCTACTTCTTTTGATTAAATCAAAACTCAGTAATAACATCAGCAGTACAGCACAAAAAAAGAAACCCAAGAAGAGCCTTGTACATAGAATTTTTCTTACTTGAATATCTCTCTCTCATTATACTCTCAGTTTTCCATATGTGCATCAATCAACATAATGGTCTATCCATACTGAACACTGAGCTACACCTGCCTTCTCTACTTACATTCCACACACTTTGTAAAAATATAGTGAATTCCCTTCAAAGAAAAAAGCAACTGAGAAAAGAACTTCAACTGTTACTCACATTAATCTCTTTATTCTTCTATCAACACAGGCAAGCACAGAGCACGTGTCCATGGAAATGCTGAATCATCTCTAGGGCACTCATCATCCTGAGCAGGACAGAACACAGCAGATGATAAAAAAGACTGAGACCTCATCACCATTGATATTTGTTTCCCACGTTGCATTTACGAAGTATTCAGGTATTTTTTTTCTTCCTCTCTATGATTTTTATCTTGTGAAAATAAAAAATTCAGTCTTCAGCCTGTGACAGAACAATGAAACTAACTCTTACATAAGCATGTCTATAGAGCATGGGAAAGTGGTGACTATCATCCATTTATTTGACAACAGTGTTTTCAATTTCTATTAATTATAGCTTCTGATTTAATGCAATCCCTATCAAATTACCCAGGACATGTTTCACAAAACTAGAACAAATCATAAAATTTATATGGAACCATCAAAAACCTAGAATTGCCAAAGCATTACTTAAGAGAAAGAAAGAGGCTGGAGGAATAACTCTCCCAGACTTCAGACAATACTATAGAGCTACAGTCATCAAGACAGCATGGTATTGGTACCAAAACAGACATATGGACCAATGGAACAGAATAGAGAGCCCAGAAATGAAGCCACAAACTATTGGTCAACTCATCTTTGACAAAGGAGGCAAGAATATACAATGGAATAAAGACAGTCTCTTCAGCAAATGGTGTTGGGAAAACTGGACAGCAGCATGTAAAACAATGAAGCTAGAACACACCCTTACACCATATACAAAAATCAACTCAAAATGTATTAAAGACTTAAACATAAGACAAGATACAATAAACCTCCTAGAGGAAAATATAGGCAAAACATCTGACATACATTTCAAAAATATTCTCCTAGAACAGTCTACTCAACAATAGAAATAAAAGCAAGAATAAACAAATGGGACCTAATGAAACTTACAAGTTTATGCACAGCAAAGGAAACAAGAAGTAAAACAAGAAGAAAA